TTGTCAGCTATGGGTCAGCGAGGCTCGGTATGTGGACTGTGATATCGGCTGCAAAACTGTGATATTTTTTGACTGAGAGCAATGGGACCTATCATGGTACGCAGCTATATCCATGTTTCGCCATGCTCGAAAGCGAGATTGAAGTTCAGTATTTTAGGATACCGCTACTTTCATGTGTCGAGCAGGACTGAATGCTTTCAGCCCCTTCCTCGATCGGTTCTAGAGTGGTGTTTGTGAACAGTCGTGTTAAGGACCTATTAATAGTTTACTAATTAATAGTTTAAAGTTAATAGTTTACCTATTAGCGATTACTCACAGAGGCTTTAGATGTTTTATGACTTAGAAGAACCATTTTTCAATCTTGGCAATTACTGTACAGATAAACTTTTTCTTTATCACTACGTTGCCTCGGTTGCTATGCAGACCCATCTGTGTTTGTGTTATCTTAAGTTTATTTTCCTTTGTTTGGAGATTATGAGCGAAAGACATTCAAGCGTAGAACAGTATAGGTCATACAAGCATAACAAGGGCATAGGTCTTAAAACTATTCGAAGAGTTTATGAGATAATAAAGTCAGTTGAATACGAACGTGGCTTTGTTTTTTCACGTCGTTAATGTGGATATGAAATGAAATGTCGGCTTCTAAGATAATCCTTAGACATATGACATTCGTTTTTCAAGGAATCGATAACTCGAGGAGAATTATTCCTAGTTTACTGTTCTTCCTAGCTTTAATGTGACCTCGTATAAAATATATTCGTGAATCCTGAAAAACAACCGATTTTTCGTCGAAAAGGCCTTCTAATCAGTAGTGATTTTAAGGCTCAAAAGGTGTGAATAAACATATCTGGCAACTTAAAGGCAGACTGTTTTTGTCCAATGCCTTTGCCTTATAGAACTTTGGACGTATGTAGATCTAGTTGACAAAGCTTTTTAGGATATGCTTTGTCAAGCTGTGGTCTTGTTTGAGACAACATTATGTCAGATGAAAGACGAATAATTATTCGTCGCTTGACTTACTTGACTATAAATAAAACCCTATATCCCCGGGTAGCTGGGACTAAGGGCGTCCCCCGTATAACTCCATTGCAAACGATCTTGATGTCTATGCTTCATCTCGTTCCACGTCAATCCAATGCTTGACGCTACCATCGCGGTGCAACTCCAGGTTTGCCAGTGATGGCCATGTTTTTTTCCCCTTCTGGATTCCAGTCCAACGCTTGTTTGGGAATGTGATTAAAATCTCTCATGAGCGTGTGACCAATTTATGACCACTTTCGATGTTTGATATTGGCGTCTTTCTAAAAGCACTTCGTTAGAGATGGTCTCCATTGACAAGGACTTTTATTTGACGTGAGATATTCTCTGTAACCTTCCACGTTTTGCACCCGTAGAGCAGTACGGAGTTGATATTAGACGCGAACATTTTGAGTTTAATCCTTCGGGTCAGTAATGGTCGTAAAATTTTCTACAAATAATTATGGTTCTATTTATCAAACTCAAATTCAATATATCATTATTCACATAGACGCTTGCGACTTCTTATGAAACGTAGAAATTTTACATTGAAATTAAAACGTTCCTAACTTACCACTAGTTCAGAAAGCAGTTTCTGTTGAGAAGACCGGCAAGACAATCAATCATCAAAAAGCTAAATCTCCCTTTTAATATTTATCAGAGACAGACAAGTGATTCAAGTTTCCACAATATTATTTGATCCCGAAAATGACAGATGGTGTTCTTATACCCATTGTCGTCATAAGTATATTATCTAACCGAAAACTATTACTATAAAAGCGCGTACTACTTGCCTGTGAGCCGTTGCGCTAACACCTCAAGGTTGACGACTAGCTAGTACTACTTTCGCTTGTCGGACTGTATCAGACACTAAAATGTTCCACCGCCCATGTAATAATCAATTTATTTTAGTTTTTATTTTATCAAATAATTTACACCTCTTTATGTAACTTTAAACAACTTATTACTGAAAACCTTAAGTTAGCAAAATTTTAAAGTGGTTACAATTACATCGATAATGACCTGAGTGATCATTAAGAGTGCTTCTAGACTCTTTTGAAATATATAAATTTGGTTCAGTCGATTCTAAGGTCGTTCGTGTATATCTGGTTTATCATTTGGTATATAATAGGATCAAATTACACGAACTAAGAGTATTATATACCAAATGATAAACAAAAGATTTAGAATAAAAGATACTTACACAATACTGGAAAACATTTATACCAAACACGTCATGTTAGGAAAGGACTAAAAAGAAGAAAGGGATTATAAATTACAAAAAATTCTCTTTCAAATAGAACAACGCACACTATCCGTTGAATAAATTTAAAGTAACAACCGTTAAAATTCACTGATCCAAATCTTACTACTGATATGTTATATTGATTTTTTAAGGACATGACAGAAGTAGCAATTGGTTGACGGTTCAAGTGAACTAAATGAGTGAAGCAAGGTCGTGCAATATGATAGAATGTTCGTAAGTGGCTGAGAGAAATTATACACTGTACCACGTTATTGAGAATTCATTCCATTTAATTTAGAAATGACAATGACAATTACATGTATATTAATTAAAGTTATTTTTTTATTTTCGCCTATAACCTTCATAAAGAATAATATTAATTAAATTATGTTACTTTTCAAATTAAGGCGTACTACAATTTTGTGGTTTTATGAACATCAATCATATTGTTATAATATAATGTTTCGAAAGAATTATTAATTGCTAGCTGATTCGGCAAACGTTGTTTTGCCATATAAATTATTTCTAGAGGAAACGTACGCATAAAGTGTTTGACAGGTTACACAGACATAGTTGACAGGTACAGTTTGTATGGGAAAATAAAATTGTCGCTATTTCGATATTCCATGCATTTTTTGGCATGGAATGCCACAAATATTTCAAAACCAAAATAAGCCAAATCGGTCCAGCCATTCACGAGTTTTAGCGAGACTAACGAACAGCAATAGATTTTTACATATAAGATTTTTAATTTTTTAGAAAATTTGTATCTATACATTAAAATGTCCGCCTCAAACTTAGGAATTAAAACTATCAAATACTGAAATAATGCATTATTGAATAATTATAAAACTCGATATATCTAATAAAGAACTTTTTTTAAATACGGTTTTTTACTAAACAACAGTGTGATCTACTTTTTAAATATGTAAGCAATTTATGTTGTTTATTCTTGGTTACAGTGATTGCCTCAAAACCAAAAAGACGCTTAAGGATGATAGAAAAAACTGTTTAGATTTTGAACTTATTTTTGCACTAAACGTAATCATTATGGAATTTATATAAAATACAGGAGTTATGTCAGATAGCTATACATGTTACATCTTCAAACGATTTTTACGGAATCTATCAAATATGACAAAATTCAGTCTGAACAAATAAAACTAACATTACAAAGAGGTACAGAGTTGATATCAAAAGAGTATGTATAATCTGAGATTACATACCGTTCCAATTAGAAATATTTACAGCGTCATAACTACTAAAAGTAAAAGTGCTCTATCCCAACGATGCGGTGGGCGAGATCTACGATATCGTGACGTTGCAGTCGAAACGTCGTTGAGAGTATCACGAACTAACATAAACTTGATACAAATAAGATCACGATTGTGATTTCTATAGCGTGATCATCATTCCGTCAACAGAAATTTAAAGGAAAACGATTCCCTCATTTTCTAATATTTTAATACTTTATAATTTATTAATTATTAATAACTCTTAGAGGAACTTCTTAATGCTGATACAAGCGTTCAAGCTCGTTTAAACAGCATCTTATATAAGTGTTACTCAGAGTAACCCAGTGCACTTGTGGCACATTTCTTACAATAATAACCAGTCACCGTGAACTATCCAGATATGACAGAAAAAAAATTTTAATTCTAATATCAAATAAGCCTCTATACCTTTGTTCAATTGTGTGAAATAATAAAAAAAATAACTCATTACAACGGAGAGAGATGGCAATATGGACGCTAATGTCGTAAAGTAAAGATAATTTATCAATCGCTATCATTGAGTATATATTTTTAAAAATCTTTACCCTTTTCCATAACCGGAAAGGATTTCACGTGAAAATACACCAAGCGTACGCACTTTCTGTTTCAGATAATTAATATGGAGATAATGTAGTCTTACGCAAACAAGGTTGCAGTAGTAAATTATTTAGAGGTTAAAGCACTTAAAAAATATCTTGACGTCCCGGAATGCTAGACGTAAAAACTTCATGGTTGTAAGTGTGTGTGTATTTTAACATGTGTATTTTGACAAGGGCCTAAGAATTTCTTTGAACTATTTGATAACTCGTGTACACCTGACCATGGCTATATTTTTATTCTACGTCTTATTTTCTGACTGATCTGTAATGAGTACCACCCATTTTTAACATCAAATATTAAAGAGTTTTATGATAATCTGATAAAACTACAATAACATACTTTAACTTAAAATTACTCCTAAATTTGGATTTTTTTATGGTTAAGATATTTTTTTATAGTATACCGTCTGTAATAAGTGAACTGTTACATATATATTCACTTCAAATAAGTGCGTGCTGCAAATGAAATTTTCTAAATGCTACATTCGACCTCGTTCAAACACCAGACGTTACTAATCGCGTAATATAACAATTAACAGTAATAACCGTTAACCTCACATCAGCGAGGTTGGCTAACGGATACGCTCGTTAGCCACAAACGGCCTATTAAAACGAAAGTGCAACTTCATCAATTAACACACGTTTCAATTTTTATTTTTATTCATTGTTTTCAATTTAATTAGACGATTTAATAAGAGATTACGATCTATTTCAATCGCAGACTTTGAAACGTTATTCCTTCCTAAAAGTTTTGAGTCTACCAATTATTAAAATTGAGTACTATATTTACGTAAAATGCTAAAAATCCACTAATTTTAATGGCTTAACATTGCTGCGCTAATATCTGCTTTTCTGTGTTTCCAGCGAGCGCTGGCATTTTGCTCGAGCAGGCGCCCCAGTGTCCTGAACAACATGGAGTACAGGTAAAATCTTTTTACAGTATTAACAGAACCCATTAAAAAATGTCGACATATTTACTCCCAAATGAACAGGTGCGATCATATGAAACTAAAAATACAATGTCTAAACTCCGAAGTTAATAATGGTCATTACAGAAATAACCAGATTTTATATTAATACTAGCGGACCCGTTAGACGTTGTTCTGTTCATACGTCTTAAGTCGACAAAAAATTATAAATAACAAAGTTATAAAATAATTTTTATAGTGTACCAAATTGTGAATCTAAATCCTCCTCGAATCCACTTGAATACGCACAAATAATTTCAATAAAATCTGTCTAACCACTTAGAAAGAGTTCAGTTTTATACTCACGCGCAGAGATCCAGCCGTTTAGGAATTCAGTTTCATGCCGTGTGTCATCACGGAAGAATTATATACGTAAAGATTTATATTAAACTGAATATGATTCACATTTACAGATCCTGAATGTGTCTAATCTTCTGATTACCTAATTGCAGGCCTACGCCCACCCGGAGCTATGTGATCAGTTCTTCCTTTGTACCAATGGCACGCTAACAGTAGAAACATGTGAAAATGGCCTGCTATTCGATGGAAAGGGAGCCGTTCACAATCACTGTAACTATCACTGGGCTGTTGATTGTGGAGAGAGAAAAGCTGACCGTAAGTAACTGTTTGAAATTGTTATTAGTTTGAGGCCATTTCTTTATAAATTCTAATACTATTGCGTTGAAATAATATATATCGTTATTTTAAATACGGAAAAACAAAAATTACGCTGTAAACAGAAATGTATTTTCATCACCTTTTCATTTCATTTTCATTCATCAAATCACAGGTTTAAAAAACTGGCCTTTTATATCAGTTGTACGAAAATGTAGAGTTACGAAAGCGCTACGATTTCTCACCATTATGTAAATCGTATTTGAAAGTTTAATTAACATACACGAGAGTTCATTTTGATTTTATTCAAAACTTTCAGTGACGCCGATATCGACGCCTGGCTGTGAATACCAATTCGGTATCTACCCGGACAGTCACGAGTGCTCCACGAGCTATATTAAATGCGCCTATGGGGTCCCCGAGCAGGAGCCTTGCACACCCGGTCTTGTTTATGACGAGAGGATCCATGGATGCAACTGGCCAGATCTCCTCCAGCCGTTCTGCAATCCTGAAGGTATATATAATAGATCATAGTTAAAATGTCTTTTATCCAATTTTCACTCAAGTTACAATACTTCATGCGGTCGTTGTCATAATCTACATATGTATCATTGGCCTACGCAAATTCTGGCCAATTCAAGAAATATCGACTGTAAACTGTCTATTCATGCAAGAGGTCAGAATAGGCTTAGTTCTGAAAACAGCCTTATTATCACGGTATAATGAGTTACGATTACACCTGTTATTATGTAGACGCACTTTGGTGTTTGCAATCAATTAATGCCCTTAGGTGCTTAGGTCTTAGTTCTTCTCAATCCTTATAATAATAAAGTATTGAAGTGCTACAAATATTCTTAACTATAATTTAAAAAAAACGTATATATATATAAAAATATTATAAAATCGAACTATATTTAAAGAACTGACCCTAGCTTTAGACCACAAGAAAATATGCAAAAGATAATATAATATATTTTCATTTTGTTCCTCTCAATTTTTAAATATTCAAGAGATTCGTGAGAATAAAATATTTAAACATAAAACTATTTAAAAATAATATGAAAAAACTCCACTTACATGAATAAAAAAAACCGCCGTATACACGAGCTAATTAATGTTAACTTCGTTCATTTTGTAGCTGTCATCGGTTTCAAATGCCCAACGAAGGCGCCGTCGCACTCCCAGTCGGCCAAGTTCTGGCCTTTCCCACGCTTCCCGGTACCTGGTGACTGCCACAGACTAATCACATGCGTGGAAGGCCAGCCTCGACTAATCACCTGCGGTGAGGGCAAGGTCTTCGACGACCAGAGCCTAACATGCGAGGACCCAGAGCTGGTGCCACACTGCGGGCACGCGTGATTTTGATCGGTCACAGCAATACGTATCACAAAACTGATATGACAAAACCATAAAAACATTTGGAATTGTACCTTTTCCTTTGACATACTGTGTCTCGTAGCATTTTAATATACTCTATATCAATACTTATGAGATTTTTTACAGAGATAAAATGTAAAGATTGTTAAAAAATCTTCCACAAATTCCGAAATGGTTTTCATATTTGTTTTGTTCTACGTCGAAACAAACTATTAATTTCCCATTTATGTTACCTTAAAAATTAGAAACGTTTTCTCATGAAAATCGTGAGAAATTCAATAATCATTATAATTTGCCTATTTGTAATGTTATCAGTACCAGAATTTATTAAAAGTGATATTAGTTACCATAGAATTATAAAAATGTAATATACATTTTATATGTACTTAAAAGTCAATGTAATATACAACTTCAAAAAATTTTAATGTAAATAGCAAAAACGTTGTGCCTTAAACAATAAAATAATCGAAAAAACAATTTGTTTTTCTTTCAATCGACATTTTGACTATTATATATCACTTTAGAACATTTCTAGTGATATTACTTAAATGCTTATTTACTACAGTCACAAAAATGCCCTATTCTGAATACGAAACTACAGACGAATAATCACTTGCCATATCAAACTTCGTCTGTTTAAGGAACTTTCTGAGCATCCCTTTTCATTTCATCTTGTGATCGAAGTATTTTTTTTACTGCATAGACCACTGTTGCCCTCCAACTTGGTTTACAGGCCTCCGTCTACACAGGACTTGCGGTGGCCGATCGCTGAGAATGCCTAGCCTGTACCTCGATTATAGGTGACTAAGTTCGAGGGTTCCCGAGGATGCCTCGGCTCAGGCCGGTTTGGGAGGCCGCCAAGCTCTTATCAAGCTCAAGTAGGCTCAAGGGCCCCCGAGGGGACCGTAACTAGGACTGTTTAGCATTCCGATTCGAGGGTGCCTCGCGAGGGCCGGCTCTCGGCTCGATCGGTATTTGTATTCCGCCTTAGAGAATTTCTAAAGCTAGCATTACTAATACTTCAGAAAGCGTCAGCTCTGGGAGAAGAAGTGGCGGAAGAAACTCCAGCAACGTTTCTATCATTAACAGGGGAAAACCTGCCAGACACGTGGCGGAACCTAGTATATGATTGCCGCACTCGCCGGCGATTGCGGTATGTTTTTGTGTGTTTCCACAATTGTTTTAGCCGGTTGATGGCTGTCATCATCAGAGAAATTGAGGACATGTCGTGCCGTAAACCATTTGCGGCGGAACGTACCTAGCGGTAATTCTGTGGTGGCGGCACCTACGACTAACGGATTGGGTATAGAAATAACTGGCGCTAACTCTCTTTTTCATGAGTAGTGCACTCAATATCAACATGCTGCTCGTTTGCTATCTTTTTATACAGAAAAGCACATGTTATACAGAGACGGTTCAAGAAGAAAAATGACGACCCGAATGGCCTAGTGGGTAGTGTGCCTGCCTCCTGTGTCAGAGGGTGTGGGTTCTATACCGGCTACTGTGTGTAATTGTGTGATGAACGTAGTGTTTTTCTAAAACTTTTCTACAGAAAACTTTATAGAAGATAGTGTCATCAGATCTTACGTATGTGTTATTAGAATTAAAAGGCGAAATATTTCAATCTACATTACATCCATGAGGCAAATGAATACAGTGAAAGAAATAGAATAGGGACGGAATGTATAATAGGAAGAAATAACGAATTATCTCAATAAAAGCATAACATTGAAAACATAAACATTTTTAAAGTCAATAGGACGCCCAAATCAAGATATTGCAAAAAGTGCTTAGTTTATGATTCTAAATTACAAATACACAATAAATTATTACCTTCGGGCAGCATTGAAAAAATGTGCTCATCGCAGGGTATAAATTGTATTCTATTAGGTTGTTCGGATCAAACCCGCCCACAAAAATATTCCAATAAAAGATATAGTTTTAATTTTTACGAACTTATATTCAAAGATCAAGTAGGGGTAGACACTCTGGGAATTTATAACCGCTTGTCAGCGCTAAGGTTACTTTCTCACCCTCCATGTTGGTTGCCATCGGTTATTTCTTTATCCAAAGCTTTTCGCAAGGCATTGGCATCAGAGTAAGCAACACCAGCAATTCTTCTCTTTAACTGATGAAAGCAACCATAATCACACGGACTTAAGTCAGGGGAATATGGTGGTTGAATCCAACGCGCAATCATATGTTGATCCTTAAATATTGCGCAATAAAAATTCAAAACCGGGCGGGTTTGAAACGAACAACCTAATATATATATTGGGCTACAGTTCTTGCCGGAGAAGCTCTATTTATTGACAATTCAAGAAATGTACTATTAACTATCACAAAACGGAGGGCCTTAAATTCACACGAAATAGAGACCAGGGTCTACATCTTAATTCACAATGAAGCATACTAACGCGTTAGAATTCATACTATCCTATATACTGATTATCAATTTTATTTGAAAAATATTTGGCTTAGCCAGTAGAAATCACATATACTTAAATGATTTTAAAATGGTTGCCTCAAGTAGTTTAAAATTATATTTCATATGATAAAGATTCCAAAACTACATGTTAATGGGTGGTACATACATAAATAAATCTAAGCAACATTGTCTTTTACGTAACAAAAGACAAAAACTTTATAGGACTTTATAGGATAGAGAAAGAATAAGAAAAATTAATGAGTACGTCATTAACCTTGAAGGAAATGGAAATTAGTTCATAAGTGTTAAGAGAGAATAACATAAACAAAATTAAACGAACACATTAGGTTTAATCTTATATTTATAGCTAAATTAAATTAATGCTCTACTCTTCAATTTCGACTTCTTTTGCTTTCGGACGCTGTGGTTTACGTCTTGAGGGTTGGGAGCCGGCTGGTTTGGGTTTTGGTGTAGGCGGGTTCTCTAAAGCATCGAGCTCGGCGTCAGTCAGTTGACCTTTGTACCAGTCCGCACTGAAAAACAAATGTCACATTTAATATTAACAACAAGATAATTTGATTTGCTGGATTAGAAAACACGTACATTAGCATGTTTAATGCTATATTTTTGCAAATTCTAACAGTTATTATATATTAGTTTTACTTTGTACATCGAAGTTGACACATAAAGTAACAACAAATAAGTGAATATATAAGTGACAGCAAGTTTTCAGCATTCATTTTATTATTGTCTACAATGCTATATTTAAATGGCAGTAGTTATAAGTTACTACAATTGTTTACTATACTGTTTTTTACATAAAAGCTGTTAAGCAAACAGGCGGTTCATCTGGTGTTAAGTGATTACGGCTATCTATGGACAACAATAACTTCTGAAGGACACATATGCGAGGCCAATTTTTTTTCGTACATTTTATTATTATTTACAAAAATAATTTCGATAACAGTAGTATGCGAAGTACTCAGTATTTTGTTGTTAAGAGAGACATATTTTAAATAGAATCTCAGCGTCAGATATAATAATCATATTTAATTTGATTAATAACATTTCCTTTAACCCTAAAAAAAATTATGATAGAATTTACCATTCAGGAACCTTTCTTGCCCATTCGCATTTCTTGCTGACATCATCAAAGGCTTGTCCCAGCTTACAACCAGAACGACGTGGAGTATTGCCATTAATGCAAACGTAGAAGAACTGACAATCTTCTGGGTCGGCGTAGCGAGGGTGCGTTAGTCCAAAAGTTTCATTTACAGTGGGGCAGTCAAATTGGAATACCTCTGTACAACAAACGTGACAATTTATTTTAAATACTCTGTGTAACTTAAGACTTAACAAAAATTTTATTGGAAGTTAACCATTTTTATATTTTGTTAAATTTCATTCTGTGAAGATTTCTGACGTGTTGTGATGACCTTAAAAGAGTGATAAATAATAATGGAAATTAAAAGGAATACCAAATATAATATGGGCATACGTTCTCAATATCTCGTAACCTCAGAGCTAAACATAACACAACTTGGTGATTATGGAAAACAATAATGAACATAGTTTTTGTATCTTTTGTCTAAGCAGGCGATTGCCCCTAAAGTTTTACTCCTTTGTAAGAATGATATGTGGTAAAATATTGTAATTTTATTGTACATACATACTTTAATAAGGAATCGACACAAAATATAAGTGATCTTAATCCGTAAACACGAAAAAGAGTTCATTAGTTATCATTGTTTTCGCTATTTTCGTGACTGTATAAGCACTGGCTTTTTTTATAAATTTAGTGTCATATATCTGGATCTGCATTTGACCCTTTCTTGAGACTAATAACTTTTTTTATAGTATTTGTTTTATCCTTTTTATTTAAGGCAATACTTAAAAACGACTTACCAGCAGCTCCGCAACCCTTCTTCTTAGCCTCATCGGGCCAAGTGCAGATGCCGGTCTTGTCGTTGTATACCAGACCATCGGGGCACGTTATCATGTTGTATTTGCCATCTACGCAGTAGTAGAATTTGCCACACTCCTTGGGGTCCTCGTGTGAGAAGTATCCGTTCTGACGGGGGCAGTGAAGCGCCGGTATTGGTGTCTCTGTGGAATGAATTCAAAAAATATTTTTAAACCTTTTCGTACTGCGAAAACTTACAATGATGTTGAGTGATTATTTAGTGATTATGCCGATAAGAAGAAAAAACATATTTGTTTTTGTCGTGAATAGCATGTGTGACAAGCATCCGACTATTAACTAAATGGTTTATTTCGTTAATTTCCTAAGAACATTAACAAAGCCATTAAATTAATAACTTTTAATACATTTTATTATTTCCTTGATAAAAACATTTGTGTTGTGTTTTTGCTTCTGGCAAGTTAATGGCTACAGTTAGTTTTGAATAAAAATAAGACAAATCTCGGCGAAGAATAAAATTTCAGTTTTACCGCATACATAAATCTTTATAGAATGAGAAATATAAAACATTTTACGTTTATTGATCGACTAACTCCCCTGAAGTGAAATGGGTCACACTAGTAGACCTGGAAGTATAGTCTAATTGTCGTCGTCGTGCTAATTGTATCTGGTAGAACGGCACTCGACGAGACAACAATCTTACATGCCACGTCTATACTCAAGGCCGTTTCCCTTGAGATGTGAAAGTTGTTTCGATATAGCTAACCTTTATATTATTATAGATCCAGTATACGCAGATGGGACGATTGAACGCCGTATTTAAATAGAAACACGTGCCACATTTGCTCACGTGTGCGTTGACCTTTAAATCGCGACTAATTTTAAATGGTAATACAAATCTATGACTTATTCATGACATGTTTCCTACCATTTGAAAAGTCCGATCCGTTATTGCCGGCATTTGACTGTTGAGCAGTTTGTATAATAACTAAATAACATATATATACACACATATATATATATATATATATATACTAATCGATGTGTATATATATATTTTTTATGTGAAAAGTTGTCAAACGAGCAGACGGTTCACCTGATGTTAAGTGAATACCGTCGCCCATGGACATCTGCCACACCCGAGGGTTACGGATGCGGTGACAACCTATTGAAAATTGGGCTAAATATTCCAAATGGACCACAAAACGGCTGTACTGATTTGGATGAAATCTTTTGGCGATATTTTCAAAAGCCCAGTGGGTGATGCTGTGTAGTATGGTAGCGATCGTATGAACAGATTTTTTTTGGATTGTTACTGCCACCCGTCAGAGGGCGAGATTCATTAGCATAATAAAAACGGGAAGTTTGAAATTTACAAAATAATGAGTGAATAAAAATTATTGATACATATACATTTACATAAAAGAAAATCCTTACATATTGCTACTACAGTCGAATACCACGGTGGTAGGGCCACGCAGCAGCCTCGGCTGTTGCACGAACGGGCAGGCCCGTCCGGGTAAGTACCACAGCCTCACAGAAGACCAGCGTAAAGTGGATGTATGACAAATACTTTCGCGTTTCGTCTGGTGAGTGAGGTAGCCGGAGCCCAATTTTCAAACGGTTGTCAACGCATCTGTAACCCTCGGGTGTAGCAGATGTCCATGAACGGCGGTATTCTCTTAACATCAGGTGACCCGTCTGCTCGTTTGGCACTTCGCATAAAAAAAATGTATATATTTATTATTAAGTCTTGTACGGCATCACATAAGCTCTTCGATTGACTATTAAGCTAAGCTAATCGATTAACGATAAACTATTTCTGTCTTAAAGGATCAGTGATAATATTCCTCTTGATATATATTTTTTTATTCTACATCTTTTATGTTCGGGCCAAAGCTACAATGAGTATTTGGGGGCTTTATTTACTATGGGTCATGTCATGTGCGTCATTCGCTAATAAAAGTTTTACTTCCTTGAGAACGTGAATTAGAGTAATATTAATAATAAATTTGCAGAAAATATTCAGAATAAATTATAAATTATAAATATTATGACACAATTATATTTTTTTTATGTTTCACTACGTTTCATTTTTAAAAGAAATTAATAAAATACCTACTTTCGTACGTTTTTGTTCCTAATGGCCAAATTATTCAATTTAAAATATAAACTGTCGCATTTGAATGCAATTGTATTGGTAAGTAATAAATTAATAATTACTTTACGAGCAATGCCACAACATTCACAAATGACCGCCATAATGTTTCTGTATCTCGCACGCGTATTTCTATACAGTTAGTGTCGATTAAAGAAAAAAAAATTGTTTTGAAGGAAAAGACAGTTTACATCCACAATCTGTTTGGGAAAATTGCAAGTAACCTTTTAGGGGAATTTATATCCATTGTTTAGAATTTTATAGCAGGCCGATTCAGAGGAGGATTTGTTGTCTTGGCCGCCCTAGGCCCCAGCCCATGTCTATCATATATATTGTTATCATCAGTGAATTTTTGTCACGATTGGCCGCCCCTAATATGTTGCCACCCTAAGCCCGGGCCTATGGGGCCTTAGGGGAAATCCGCCACTGGCCGCCGAATAATGATGGAAACACTTTTTTTATTTATAATCGTATCTGTAACTTTATAAAAAAAAATAAGAACACTTTAGTCCTTTTTAAGCTTACGTTTATTTTTGACAATGAGCATTTAAATATACTGTTTACCGTACACGTGTAGCTGTAGCCAGTCTTGTATGTATAAACTCATTTTGATGGAATTCGATGAAATTTCGATTGTCAACTAATAGGGTCATGTTTAGTATGTGTGTTACATACACAGTTCATTATTTAAAAGTTTACTCACGTAGCTTCGGTCGCTGCGAACAATCGAGGTTGAAGGGTAGATCACATTTCTCTTCCTGAGGACTGTAGTCGTTGAATACCATGCCATCAGGGCAGAGCTTCTCTATGATCTCCCCGTTTCTAATAAGTTTTAAATTTCTTTGATTAAGAAAATTAACATATGTATGTATTTTCCCTATGAACTCTAAAACGGCTGTGCCAATTACAATGAATTTTCAGGCAATCATCAGACTAGCTCAATTGATGTAGCTGTGAAGTTTATTAATGTGATGTAAGATGAAGGAATTGTTTTTTCTTTTTTAATAATTATTGCTACGGGTGGGTCACTTGTTAATAAAATAACGGTTATTACTGGTCTGGGAAAATAGGTCCAAATGGGGATATAATAACATTTAAAGTTACGTCATAATTCAATATAAGAATTTAGCAATAATAAACAATCTTAACAATAAACAATCCATCTGTTAGTATTTTTTATACTAGATATAAATATAAATTAAATATGTTGTTAATCGATAGGTATTAGAATATGAGTACTAAACTGCTGAATTGTTATTGAAATGACCTAAGGCATGTAAAAGGAAAATGCCACATGAATCACGCAGTCAATGTACGAATAAGGTAAATGCTGCTTTCAAAGGTAACTACTTCTTAATTGAACAGTTATCACTGATATATAAACTTTATGGCAACGGAGAAGACATGATATGGTATTTCCTATACAAAAGTTTTGAATCGATAATCAAAATTTATATTTTAAGGTGCCTCATTGACAAGTGAAGGAATTTAATTTAAGTCTTGTAAATAAGAATATATTTATTCGATACCAAATAAGGAGGTGGCAAAAGAAATCTTAAAATGAAATTTGATTGCTCAAGTAATGAACAAGGTAGTGCCAGTCATTGAAGGGACATAAACTCTTTATGTTTATTTTCCCTTCTTCCTATTTTAGTTATGTTTGTTCCTTTTTCAGTTTTTTTTATCTTTAAACAACCGTGATGTTATTTTGTCTTGATGAATCGAACTCTCGATCTTAGAGCAATGTCCTCGAAGCCACCAATTCGAGAAAATAACAAGATGGTAAACTGAGTTGGCCGTTAACCTGCACTCGTAGTATTTGTCGCATTGCTCAGCGTCCGCGAAGAATCCGTCCTCTGGACAGGAGCTTGTGATCTCAGCGTCTTTCTCGGGATCGGCGACAGATCTTGGCGGTGGGTTTGCGGGTTTTCCCCTAGAATTCTTTGGTCCTGCTGACGATGCTAGCACTGAAATTTACAAACGAGACGGGTATTAATTCACCGATTCGCTGCATCACAGGTTTTTCTTTCCATTAAAAATGACTCGGGTTTTTACGAATATAAAAGGTATAAGAAACTGCTAAAAGTATTATATAAACCAAAAATTCCATAAATAAAATATTTGAAAAGTAATACCTATTATTTTAAGATGGTTTACTTTATTAAACATTGTGATATTTGGATCATTTCATATTATAGTCCGAATTAATGCGATTACATTAATTATCTTGTAATTATTCAGTGAAATACATTTTTCTTTATTAATATATTTATAATTGATATGAAATTACGGTAATAAATTTATTTAATGGAAGTCCATTCGACAAACGAATTATGATCGAATATTTTTGTCGACGACTTGTTGACCAGAACATTTCCTGCGTGGAGATTAATAATCGTTGAGCAGTTTACATTGAACAAATCTAGACTTCCTCGTCTGCCAACCATGTTCTGAGAAATTAACATTTTAAAATTCGCGGTTTCATTGCAAATTTCTTTAGTACAAAAGCGCAAATTATGAGAGGTTTTTTTTTAATTTGTTTAAAATTGACTATGATGATACTAAGTCATTGGCTTTTCAATTTACATCATCGACTATTAATTCAGTGTGAACGTATGAAATCAATTACTTTTTAAACTTTAGTTATTTAGTAATAATAGCAAAGAAAGAGTGAAAACCTTATATGTAATTAATATTTTACAATCAATAGTAGTTAAATAAAACGGATTAATTTTAAAATACTTATTCGCGAAAATTTTGACAATGGATAAGAAGTGAAAATAATATATATCTACCATGTTAAGGAATAAAAAGAATGTACTTTAACGGAGAAGAGTTTAATGAATACAAACACCGACGCGTATTTTAAGATTAAATTTATCTCCTTTCGGTGCACTGCATACCAAGATGTTGTAGCTGCACGAGATTTATCTGGCCCATTCGTTTTTACTATCGCTGCCTAGATCCGCATTCTCTGATAGCCTTGGCTATTGAACCACAACCTTACCTTATATCGCATGTGGAATAAACAAAGTGTTACAAACGTCCAGGACGCTTTATAGACACATATATTTCGGACGATAAAATCAACCATCAACATAGCCATACTTATTAACAAACAAGACTATGTTGTTATCAAAATAAACCTACATCTTTTTCCGTATATAAGTCATTAGGACTGAATACGCTGACTAATGTTTTTTTTTATTTTCATGAGGATTCAAAAGAAATCTCAATTTGAAATCAATTTAGTTTTTTTTTTAAATTCAATAACAGTATTTTGATACAAAAATCGTAACCAAATTTAAAGTTTTTTTGAAAGAAGTAGTAAATGTAATGAATAATATCAAGCACCAAGAAATGCAAATCATATAATGAACAATTTCGATGAAATGAAGTATGACAGCAATACTTCGCGCTAGTTTCTCTCTTACCTAATCACGCGTAACCTACAGCTCAAGGAAAGTTGCGCCAAAATCAACTTCACCCATGTAACATTTAAAAATTAGCTCGTGACCATGACATTATTCAAGATTTACCAAGTTTACATTATAATGTCATATTTGTAATAAAAAAAATCATTCTCCTATTCAAGTGTGATACAAAGATAGTAGCTCGTTGATGTCTTTTCTATCAGAATTTAATAACCATTTATTAATTAAACGATTTTCCCCTTGGATCTCATTTATATTTCACTTTAATCGTGTAGTATTTAAAAGTATCCATAATTAGAATGTACAATTGTAATGTTTACATAAAACTAAATCATTTTATGTTCGTAAATAAAAATTAGCATTGCTCTCAACAGTTGGATTAATAACGTATCTAAATTATAACTCACCAACTAAACATGCCAAAAACACGATTCCAATACTCGACCGATACGCCATCTTGTATTATTTATAATTACTAGAATAAACTTATAACATAAAGTCACAATTATGTGACTTACAAACTTGACGCCCGCGCTGAGTTCTATAGCGCACTGAGTATAACAGTTTTTGTCATCCGTTCTTAGCTGAAGAATGGATAAGCGAAAGGTTTCGTTAACAGCAACTTTCTCGCTCCCTCACAATGAAGCATAGATATGTCTGCACTCTTTGCTCATGAGCTTGCTCTTTGGAGCAATTGGATCATGTTATAATTCTACGCGATCGGCAAGAAAATAAGTATGTAGTACCCTGTATAGAATCCTAAATTAGATGTGTACTATTCATCGTTTATTATAGAAAAAGTACTAATTTAAAAACGATGCGTTATGTATGTACATAAAAATATCTTGAACACCTTTTTTGTCAATTAAAAAACGAAGCGTAGTTTATTCTGATGGTTTAAATATTAATTCACCTTTGTTAAAGCTAAAAATCAACTCAAATTGTTATATGACTCATTCATTAGGAAATTGGCACTAATGGTTAAATAAGAATAGGTTGCATAACTTTGAACTTAGGCACGTGGGTTAAGTTAACACGGCTCGTTGAGTTTGCGATTAAATGTTTAGAAAGACACTAAAATGAAACTATAATAAATGCATCTCATTAAAGCTAAATTCTGGCTTAAATGATATTCACATTGTCTACAATTACACTTTATTTGGCTTAATTGTAAATAGTTGGTTAGTGGCACTAACGATTTAACACTTTTTTTAAATCCGTTACACGGTAACAGAATCAAATGTGTCACATCTCTTCTCATATAAATCGACACTGTAAGTCCGTTTCTTCACTTCTTTAATCTCTCACGACGTACTTTTAAAAAGAAATTACGGGACCTTAACAGATTCAAAAATACATGCTATAATTATGGTTATTACAGCATAAATCATTTAATGAAGTAAAATTATAAAAATAATCTACAAAATAATATTATTTATTACTAGCTGCTGCCCGCGACTACGTCTGCGTAGAATAGGCTGAAGGCGAAAGATTCAGACAGAAAGACAGATGTACATAAAATATGTATATAAATTATAGCCTATGTCTTATTCTGATGTAAAAGCTATATCATTGTAAAGTTTCATTAAAATCCATTTAGTAGTATTTGCGTGAAACAGTAACAAATATCCATCCATACATACAAACTTTCGCCTTTATAATATTAGTACAAGTATAAGGATAGCTCCGGAACCGGTGTGATACTGAGAGTGGTCACCGCGGATTTTATAATAATTGGCTTCTACGACTAAAAATTCCATTTATTCAGTTTCAAAGGAAAGTAATACCATCTATCAGCGTCCGTGTTGGTGTAATCTTATTACTTATTACTGTTCAAAAGATTTTTGCCTTAAGTAAGAACTCTTTACTTGTTTCAAGCATATTATTAGACCAAATTCATCATACACTGTTAGTTAAGCAATTATATTAAATTGTTATATGAAAGTTTAGTGCATCAATTGTATATCGGTATTGCTATAATTAATGTGAAACGGTAATAATTAAAATAATTAATAAACGGTTACAATTAATAATAATTTACAATCATTTTGCGATGACATTAACTGTTTCTGCGTGTTAAATTAAAATCACATTATGCGAAACATCATTCTTTTAATTCACTGACGCTAGAAAGTTGGCGTGGCTTCTGTAATCAGTTTATTATAATATCTTAATGAGTCATCAAGGGAAATAGTTTATCTGATAGATTATTAATTTTATTTTTATTTTGTGTTATAGCGTGAAAGTTATAATGTCAATATTTGTAGCCAAAATGTTAAACATTTTTGAACCCACAACATATTTATCAAGTATTGTACTCGTATGTCGTAATTGAAAAACTAAGTAACGATACGTGCGGTAAATGAATATAACTTTTGTGGTCTTAAAATAATTATGTTAAGCTTTAATTAAAAAAAAACCAACTATCCTATCTTTTTCTCAATTATCATTAATTTAGAAATTTAGTTATATGAGTTAGTATAATTTACATAATCCAATCTCGGATCTTATACAATAAAAATAATTAGAAATGTATAATGATACATTTTATAGTTTGATTTTCATATAATAGACCATAAAATTTATGAATTTTATAAAGTGAACTCCTCAAAATGTTATAAGCGAGCGTTTGTTCGTAATATGTTTTTATTCTGAGATTGTAGGAGATAAGATGTCATAATAAACATGAAGACAGACCAACAACAGACAACAACATTTCATTTTAGAAAGTGCGCAGTGAGTTAGTTGTTTTAATAATTTTAAATAAATATTTCGGACACATTTTTTACACAACGTTTTCTAGTACCAAACTAAGCAACGCTTGTACTATGGGACTAGATAACTGATAAATATACTTAAACATACTGTTCTTTTTTAAATAAATACTTATTATAAATATGTAAATACCCAGACACTGGAAAAACACTATGTTCATCACACAATATTTTTCCAGTAGTGGGGATCGAACCCACACCCTCTGGCGCAAGAGGCAGTGTCACTACTCCCCACGCCAATCGGGTCGTTGATAATGATGCCAATGTCAATTAATTTTAAAAGAAGACAAGATTTTTTTAAATAAGCTAATTTCAATTGAACAGTTATAAAATTTGTAAAATTATTGCGATTGTATTATGATATAAGTAAAAAGAAGAATTTTTTATACCTAAAAACGAATAAATTAAGTCATTTTAAAAGATGTTTTAAAGGTACGTTTTTATTACCTGTTCCCAACCAACATTGTGTTGGTTAAACAAAATTATTGTTTAAATCTAAAGCTAGTAAAGTGAAGACTATTATTTACATATTGTTCTTATGTATTCGTATGCATACTAATAACCTTATATCTTATTATTTTTTTTTTTTGTAAAAAGGACGGCAAGTCAGCAAGTCATTCACGTAATTTTGAGTTGAGTTGAACAAGAATACCCATGAATATCTGTAATAACTAAGGGGTTGCACAAGCGTTGCCAAACTAAAATAGTGGACCCCTGTTATTTGACTCATTATATGAAACCCGTAAGTACAAAACTTCATCATCATCTCCGGAGGAATAGCGGATAATGCATCTGATTGTCAGCTTTTAAAAAAGTGGCTCTGGCTACCTCACTCACCAGACGAAATATAAAAACAAATAATAGTAAAAGTATAGTTTTTCCACTTCGTGCCGTTTGCTGTAAGGCCGTGATACTCCCAGCAGACGGTGCTGCGACGCCCCACCACCGTAGTATACTAATTTATTAATTAATACTTTCATTATTTTAACCATGGAATTCCCATCAATAATGGTTTCAGCTTTCTGCTTTGTTTAATACTTTAAAGATGAATTTTAACGAAAATTATTTGTTATACTTATGTATGCAATATACATTAATATAATAAAAATATAATTTTCATGATGTGGCCAAATATATAGTATTATCTTTAACTACATCATTAAAATTATATTTTAAACTGGAGTTTAAAATATTTTTTTTACAGTTGAAGCTGACAGCAAGGATTGAATATATTAGGGCACAATTAAAATGGTCTCATGTAAAGCGTAGGCGAACGTAATTACGTAAAAAGAAGTAACACCAAGCCGCCCACTAAATGTAACATGCAAGAATGCAAAACAGTTGCAATTTAAATTATAAAACAAATACTACATTCAACATCTTTAAAGTAATTAAGACTATGTAGTGACTTTCGTTAATGCCTATATAACCTTTATAATAAATTATTCACAAAAAAGAACCCATAGGACTATAAAATATCGTCAATAAGATTATGTACTCCCGTATATATAATATGAAATGTTTAGTGTATTTTATCAAGATGCGGTCTGGAATCTTGACGCACCGACGCATTTAGATGACTCAGTAGATTTACAGCGGCGTGTTCAAAGCCATGAAGGTAATGGCTGTAGCTTGAAATTATTTTCATAATAAACAGTGTATATCATTAAATACACATAAAATTATTACAATTTATGACATAATCAAATAGTTATTACTTCATAATATTTCTTAAAAGGGATAAACAAATAAAAAGCTCTAAGACTTCTTCAGTAGTTCAATATCTATCTCGTTTTACGATGTTACTTAATGATTTTTCCTTTTTGTCTAGATATCGAGTTTTACAACCAAAGTTTTTATGGTTTATCAATTGGAAAGCGACCGTACCAACGTTGATATTAAAAACGCTAGTGTGACACCACCAGCTTTAAAAAAATTACTTGTCCGACGCCCAAAAGCAATTTTATTTGCACAAAACCCAATTTGATCTCTCGTTTAAATATTGATTTAAAAACCACTCCAAAAAAATCTCTTATCAATTTTTTGTTTTGTTGTTAAGTAGTAATCGACATCATATATTTTATCTGAACATATACAGAATCACAAAGAATAATAAAAATACTTGCTCATACTTCAAAGAAAACAATGACCCTATTTAAACGTGCAAAATTACACATGAGGGTACTGAAGAGGCATATCCTTTTAAGCTTTCCTTTAATGTCCAGTCTAAAACTGAAGCCCACGTATGTATGGGTATAGCTGCATCCGACCTCCGGTTCTATAAAAGCTAGGATCTGCGCTTGGCCCTGACATTGTCCTGGCTCACTGGGAGCGAGTACAAGAGAGGAAGCAACAATGTTTGAGATAATCACTTTAGTTATTTTGGCGTCCGCGGTCTGCGGTAGCTGTACTGAAAACGGAAACATGCTCGAGAGTAAAACTTTTAAGGACAACAGTCGACAAAGAAGACTGCTTTGTGAGTACAAAATTTTAACTTTATTGTTTTTTTTTTTTTTTGTATATTTATATTAAGAATTTTGATAGTACTTTTTACGAAGATTAAACCCCAAAATACCTCATTTTATTATTTTTTAAAATAAATAGTACAATTTTCTAAGTATGAATAAGCTTTAAAAAAATTTTCTAAAAGAAAATTAATAACATTTATATTTAATGGTGGCCATATTAATACATTCATTCTGACACACAGAAACAAACAACCTTATATATTTTGGCCACAATTTATTACGGACATTATACAATGGTAATAGCATTGGTGAAATTATTACCTTATACCCAATAAGTTGTAATAAACTCACGCATAAAACGAAAGAGCTTATATTGCAATTATGCACATTTAAACAATTTTAGTAAATCTAATTGTTTTAAACAAGGTAAAAACAGGATTAAGCAACAATAGGATAAATTTATAGATGAGAGAATATATAAGATCTGTTACTGTATTCATGGAGAGAGCAAAATAACAAGAGTTATAGTAAGGAATTATAGAAAATAACAAGTTTGTTAAAATAATGATCAATAAGTTACTAACAAATTTGTTAGAAATTAATAATAATTTACCTTATTTGGTATACTAGTAGACAATATCATATTCGGGGTCATATATGAGGATTCTGGGGACTTATGGTTCCCTAAGAACGTTCCCTATAGAACCCGTGGTTAGTAGCGTATTAATATTAAAGTATTTATTCCTTGATATTTTCCCTGACACTCAAACCAACGAAGCTTTATTCCTTAGTATTCAAAATAGACAACATCACTCGATACAGATACAGAAAATCTCATATTTTTTTATAATAACAACACCACAACGCAATGCATAGAATAATAGAAAGAAAATTTCCATGGCTAAAGTTACCACCCCTAAGTGACCACATACTTATACAGTTTATTCAAAAAAGGTTGAATATTATGAAAAAAAGTAAATGATAAGAATCATTACGTTCACCGCAAGGGCACTTCTCGGTCATTGACCATTATTATGAGCTATTTCCAATCTTGGATGCGATTTATACATTACTCACCACGCTCTGTATATGAATACCCTCGTCTCGATGCCTTTGAAGCCTTTGTAAGCAGCAGTGGGTATGTTGCGTGTCAGTAACATGGACCCTGTAGTGCATTCAACTGTCAGTGTATCTTTTGCATTGCGCCTAATGTCTTCCGGCAAGTTGTAAACGGCGAAACATCCTTTGCCGACAAGATTAATCTCGACCTGCATTGTACTCCCGTGCCCATTGCTCGTTTTACAGCATCTAATACATAACCATTAGATGGAAGTTATTATTAATCAAAATTATAAGCTCAGTTGTAAGCAAGCACAATATTCAGTGTCTAAATTAAATAAAAAAATAACAAATTATTCGATTTCTAGTTTACGACGAAGACGGGAATTTAGTGAAGACATACTCCAACCCTTACCTTCATAATTTTGCAAGTAAAGACAACAATGTCTTCTGGAACCTAATGAATCCATTTTTCAGTTTCCTGAGGGTGAGTATATTTAGATAATTATACTTAAGTTATACAAGCAGATAGTATTTTCACATCAAGCATTCCAATTTAAAACTCGATCCTCAGCTGTTATGATTTCTTTTTAATAATAATAATAAAACCAGCACTAATTTAAAATTTGTAGAAAAAATTTAATCATTATTACTTATCATTATTTTATCATTCCACGTGAAAGCAAACGGATCTGTTTAAAAATAGTAATCAATAAAATTAGTATTTTTGTATTAAAATTACAAAATCATTTGCAAGATCTTCTCCTGTGTCTCGCAGCCGTCAAGCTTCAGTGGTTCTGCTATTGCATATATGATACCCGTATCTGATGAGGTGATTCAACAAATTAACAATGACCCGGTGTATCAGAACAAGTTGCTATTGTTATCAACACGCGATCCTGTTGTGGAAGCCAATCCACTTTGTAACGGGAAAAGGGAACCCATACCATCACCGAAGCTATGCAGCGGCTTCCTGAACTGCTGGGACGGCTGGGCATTCGAACAGGACTGCCCTGATGGTCTACTATTTTCTAACAACGGTTATTGTGATTATACCTACAACGTCGACTGCAGCAACAGGAAACTGAAAGGTAATTTTTAAAAGTATACATACGTAACTGCAACGATACGTAAGAATTTGGTTTTTGGTGAAAACTCGCACCATTCGTATCCCGGCCTCACAGAATACCCGCATGAAGTGGAAGTATTAAACTTTTTCGTTTCGTCTGGTGAGTGAGGTAACCGGGGCCCACTACTTTAAAGGTTGTCACCGCGTCATCGGGTGCTAGATGTCTATGGGCAGCGGTATTAACATCAGGTAAACCACTTGACAACTTTTGAAAATGTGTGTGCGCGTTTGACAACTTTTCACACACAAATAATATCTGATAATATACATAAAAAACTGTACGTATTGATATTCATCGACTTATGTTCGTCATAACATTATAGAACAGCATAGTTTTCCAACGAAAGAATTTGATATAATAAAAGTAACTAACGTTGGCACTACACGTGTTAGAGTATTAAATGTTTTATGTGTAATCCAATACATAAGCGAAAGGTTTCATTTTTTTTTAAATTTTGTAAACTTGCCGCACATTGCTGAGTTTTTGTCAAATACATAAAAGGTTCGTGCACTATAATAAATACAAGCTATGTTATTTCAACAGACTTTTAGATATGATCTAGAGTTAATTGGATATATTTTATAATTAAGCAATTGCAATTAAGTGTTCGTATTTTAAATAATAATTTATAATCTTCTTAAAATATACATCATGAAAAAGTGTTTTTCATTCTGCCAAAAGAGATAAAACGGACCATTTTATTAAATGACTTAATAAAACAATGTCTAAATGCTTCGACCTGTATTTAAAAAAAACAGTTAGATTTTAATCTGTATTCTATTTTTAGTTTTAAAGCAGACAAATGCAAGTAGCGCTTTAATTCACCAAATCAGGAACACTGACCGAAAATGGTTGACTTTTGTTCACATATGAGTCATTACATCACATCAAATGCATGCATCATTCTTTGTTAATATTCCTTATTTAGAAAACATTTTAATTTTGTGCCCAAATGTAACAATTACTTATTTAATAACACATTTATGTTCCAAATGTGTGGTGATTAATACTATGTTGTGCGTTATATTTCACAACTTCATGAGGTACATTTAACTTTTTAATGTCTTAATATGAATAATTTTTTCACAGCAATATTAACCAATGCCCATTAACCAAACAAAAAAGGTATTATTTTAATCTAGTAAATTGTATAATTAAATTGATTTAAGCCACACACGCCTACGCCGATACTTATTTTCTTTAATGTTTTCATAATTTGTTGAGTCCAGTTAATTTTTCTAGGACTATGCCCTAAAACCCTGTGTACAGAGATCTTTGCCTTGCAGTGGCGCATATATACAATAAAAAAGGTCTTAATTATCACCTATCATTTCATTTCTAACTTTATTTTTTAATTGTTATTGAGAAAATTATTTATTTTGAAATGAAAGACTGTTATTTTGAAATGAAAAATTGTTAAAATAATCAGAACAACTTATATTCATAAATGTAATATAATCGTCAGCCACTACATATTTAATCATCAGCGTTAAAATATGAGAATACAGACATTTTTAGCATCAATTTCCCAGCAATTTGCAGCACAGCGATGTTGAAAAGAGTATTTAAATTCGAGTTTTTTAAGTATAGTTGAGGATTAGCATATTGAGCTACCATAACACAATTGGGCTGCCATTTCCCCATAAAGGAATTTGTTAAAATATCTTACAAAAGACGACAATGCTATGCGTTAAATATGCTGAATATATAACCGCGACGCGCTATTGCGTAAGACTTGTTTGATCTTAGACGTGTCGTCAGATGTTGCTGGAAATGTCACTTCGGATCTTATGTAAAATCACTCTCAAGTTTCGCAAAGACATTATAACAACATTATATCATTCATCCGGCAGTTGACAACTCGGAAAATACGACAAATATACTTTGTGATTGTCTGCTTATGATTTATGTTTTTAAACTCGTTTGCCGCCCTTAGATTATTATCTGTATAAGAGTATGTACACAAATATCAAAAGTGGGCATCGATATTGATTTATTTATAAATAATGATGTTACAAATGTCCTTGGGCGCCATCGCTTATCATCAGGTCACCCGCATTTTCGTTTGCCCCCTTTTAACATGAAAAAATCCATGTAAAACTATTACATTTATGTAGATATACCAGCTCTAGTAGTTTAATTAAAAAAGCACCAAATCTAAGTACAATCTACATCATATCAGCTCACACTATTTAAACAGTGTTTAGTCGTTTAGGTAACATTATTAATTTCATTTAAAGTTTCAAATGACATATTTTCAAGATACCACTGAACCACGGTGCCGTCGAGATTTCGAAACCTTTCGAAACGAGTCAAACTGCAACGAGTTCTTCGTGTGCGTAAACAGTCTGCCGGTCAGATTCAAGTGCCCCTCTGACCTTTACTATAACCAGGTGAGGCGATGTTTATTTAGCGGCGAGAGTGTACTAAAGAGGATCGGCAAGTAATCTGAGGTTATCTTCTCATCCACACAGGGTAATAAGGTCTTTTTTTATATTGGCTTCACTGGAAAACGCCTCATTTTGTGCAGTTTTTCAATGCAAATTTACAAATGCGGCTTGTTACTTTGCATTAACTTAAGGCCGAAATATATAACGAAGTCTCGATTGTGGTAAAACAAAGTATAGGGAAAAAACATTTAAATATCCAAGTATTTCCTCAAAGTACATTTACAATTTAATCAGGCCTAGATTACTATCCCAATTTATAAACACTACAAAATACATAATCATAATCGAGGTGCCTCATAAGGCATCACATTATTAGAGGACTTCGTGGTATCAGTTGCCAAGGTGTAAGGCTTCGACGTCGGGGGTCGTGGTTTCGAATCCCACGCGAGACAGCTATTTGTGTGTTTGTCTACGTGAAATTTATGTTTGTAATATGTCCCTACAATACAGGATAATGTTATTCTAAAGTAAGGGTAACGTTTAAAAAAACGTTTCACGGTGGTAGGGCCACGCAGCAGCCTCGGCTGTTGCACGAATGGGCAGGCCCGTCCGGGTAAGTACCACGACCTCACAGAAGACCAGCGTAAAGTGGAAGTATGACAAATACTTTCGCGTTTCGTCTGGTAAGTGAGGTAGCCGGAGCCCAATTTTCAAAAGGTTGTCAACACATCTGTAGCCCTCGGGTGTAGCAGATGTCCATGGGCGGCGGTATTCACTTACCATCAGGTGAACCATCTGCTCGTTTAGCAACTTTTCACATAAAAAAAAAAAAAAAACATAATTCTTGATTCGTCAAAAGCTGTAGAGAAAACAAAAATCTAAATACTAATGATTCCAAAAGATATTATTTTATCTAATCTCTTCTTATTAACTATTATTTCTTTATTCAAAACAACCTTGATAAATAATATTAAGTACTTGTTTCTTTCGGACCGTGATCCTAACAGCACCGAAATAAACGTCCTAAGCTTTTGCATTAAAATACTCTTACGAAATATGTTTACTGCAAAACTTACATTACTGAAACTACTTCTAAAAATTCAATTCTTAATAACGAGGTCAAATGCCTTTCTAATGACTCATATTAGGCCTATTGATACATCAATATGCTTAACAATAATTTTCTACATTGTGCATTTACGCGACAATAATTTTATATATGCAACAACAACTTTACCCAATTAAGCAATGTTCTGCCCACGTAGCTGACTGAGTCACAGGAATTTTGAATCCATTAAGTTCATCAAGCGAAGCGAATATTTTTTAAAAAGGTTGTCGACGCGTCTGCAAACCCTCGGGTGAAGCAGATGTCAATGGGCGGCGGAATTCACTTAACATCAGGTGAACCGCCTGCTCGCTTAACAACTAACTTATCACATAAAAAAGAACGTTTCAAATGTAAAAATATAAAAGAAGTTTTACTTTACATTGTAGTAATTAAATGAGGTCTTAGGTATATTACTATATTTTTGGCCTTTTGTAATAAAAAACATAAAAAATATGTTTTCTTTCCTCATTTTGAGCATTGTTGCTTTATACATTCGTCATCAAAATCATTCGTATTTAGAAACTTGTACGTTGGACGAACTGGACAGATGACCCTTTTTTCGGAGATGATCGATAGACATGGAAAAACACCAAGAAACCTGTTTTAAAACCCAACTGACCTAATGCTAATTTGTTTTGGTTAGGCCACGTTGCTGTGGATACTATTATCGGCTATCACTAAACTGTATAAAATAAATTCTGCCGTAGTCTTGTTGCTGATTGGTCATTGTGTCGTCATCGCCTTTTATGTCAATGAGATAAGGACGTAATTTTATCAACCACTTTTGTCGGATCAACTTTGCGTGTATTAAAATATGCGTTAAGAAATACTTAGTACGAAGACATTTTTGCACTTTTGTGTTCATTAGCGCTTAATTTTATTCAATTATCTTTATTATCTTTAATATATCATTACATACATATGGGCTTAAATTTTACCTGTTTACAAATGAAATTTCAAGTAAATTTATCCTATTTTAGGCATTAGGAATTTGTGATTACGCACACATGGTTAAATGCAACGTATCATCTACATCGTCAGAGCCTGCCTTGAAACCAACTTCTGAAATGACTACGCCTACTGAACTAAATCACAGTACGAAACCAACAGCCCCGCCAAATGAGCTAAACTTTAAATCGATTTCTTCTAGCCCGGGAAACATCGTTGTCAACTCTGTTTACGACAGCAGGAGTAAGTAAATCAAAATATGATTGTCTACAGTTACAGTGGATTTTTACGTACGTTAATTTTTGCTTCAATTGATATTTTTGTTGGCTGTCCGTAGACTAGATATTAAAGCTGCATCATCATAATTCATCATTAGCACGCTAAACAAACGGACCTTAATATATTTTTTTATTAAAATCATTATAATGCGACGATGAACTACAGCGGTATCGTAGCTTAAAATAGTTTTTCGATTTAAAACCGAATTTTGTGCTAAAACACTCACTTAATTTTGTGTTAACAAACACAAAAACCTTATGAAAAGTTTTATCACATCATTTTGACAATTTATTTTTTATTTATTTCAGCGTGGACATCAATGCATGTGGCAATGTCACGTCAAGACGCTATTCGCCAGTTAAAGCTTAAAAGCATCGCAGACATTAAAACTGCTAAATAAGCATTTTATAACTTATTAATAGCTTATTTTTTATCAATGTATTTTTGTGAACTTTTTTATTTGCTTTTTGTCTTTTCACGGATATCTATTTATACCGGCACATTTATTACGATTTCTAAGGGTGTTTCATTTACTACGATTTGGTGAAATAAAGAGAACGTTTTCGAGGTTATAAATTTATTTACATAAGCTTGTAAAAAAATCTATCCTAACTTAAAATTAATTAAATTGTATGACTAAAGTTATTATGTTTTTTTTTTTCGACACAGTATCAACATCGGAGCAAAGTCGGTACCATGTCAAATAAACTCCTGTTTAGTTTTATATTTTTGGCAATAATAAAACAATTTAAAAAAAATTGTCAAAAACTACCTATTTTGACGGCGGCGTGATTTTTGTTAGTGGAATGCGATTACATTAAATAGCGCGCTCATTTTTATTACAAAAATATTTAAAAACAATGTAAATTCAGACTTAACGCCTCTTAAGACTCTTAAGACAGACCAATACTTATTGTTTTTTTTTATTTCTCTTTATATTGCTATTGGAGGAGTTACTTAAAAAATTCAGTCAAGATTATTATCTACCTGACTAAATAGTATTTTAACCAGCCTTAATTCATGAATGTTTTCTCAAGAGGTTATAGATTCTAAATCAAATCGTAGAGCTTGAATTTCAGTCTGTCCTTTGAGTCGCTCCTTGACATTCAGAATCCCAATTTCTTGAGTGCCTTGAGATCGACGTCACCATAATAATCCTCACTGAAACACGCACAATATGGAATTACACATAAATATTTAAGTTAATGGATGAGCCAATTATCGAATTCTTTACAGAAAAAATAGTTTAAACAGTTGTATGCATAAGATTTTAATAAACATATATAACGTACCTGCTTACAAGAAGACATAAAGGCTGGCTGTTATCAGTGGTAGTGGAGAACATGATTATATACAGATTAATAAAGAGAAAGAACTGAAAGAAACCAGAAGTTATTAAATGTTATGAGAGATTGTATGTGATAAATATAGAAAAAATAGTTCCAGTGATAATAGATGTTACTAGGAAAATCGTGCAATAGTGCAAAACTACGAACATACAGAATAAGACACATAATTTTATAGTTTTATTATTTTTTATTTTATCACTAAATGTAAAACTTAAGTATTACAGTTTTCTTCATCAAACAACAACACTCGGTCGCAACGAGATAATTCAGTTCATTGGACATTTATTTACAAGGTCGATTCAATGTGGAAACTTCTCAATTTACATTTGACTTTATAAATGCGAAAACATATATTTTACATACATATATACCCTATTGTATACAATTTTATTTTTCCAGGAGTAATAATGCCGTGAGATCGAGATTAACCGGTTCAATTGCTTATAGAGCGCTAACAAAACTAAGATACAATATAAAATAAATATCTCTAACGCTGTAAGCTTTCTATTAACTTTCTAATCCGCCTCTGGAAACTGTTTTAAGGCTACAACGAGGAAATTATTTGGCAACTAGAAATGAATACAAATCGATCGGCTTCGCTCACTTAACACTCGAATTTGAAATTTGAACCTGGGACGCTATCTCCGCGCACCGAAAACAACTGCTAAACATTTTGCATTCAAACTGTGCTGTACACGTTGTGTGCGTGTTGTCTTTAGCACGCGAAGTTATTTTAAAATAAGTGTGAGTATTAAAGGTTTAAGGTGGGAAGGTTCTATTTAATTCTCCTTTTGGGGACGGGGCTTAAGCTGCTTGTTCGGGACCTGGCGAGCCTGGCCGTCGTTCTGGAGTCCAGCCAGGAGTTCGCTCTTGCGGATTGACTTCAGATCCAAATCGCCGTAGTAGTCCTCGCTGAAAATGTACGCGCACCTTACTGCCTGTCGCATCTACTATACTAACTTATATCTACTAATATTACACGCATATCTCGCTACATTGCACAATTAAGGTCTGTTAATAGCTGCTATAATTCTGAACTACTTTTAATGCGAACGAACGGTGTAGTTGAAAGAATTGAAAATTGTGAAACTCGCCTTGTCCACAACACTCGATATCTACCAAACCGCCTTGAATTTGTAACGAGAATATAACCGCTCGCTTTTCTTGTGAATAAGTGCATTAATATCAACGTTAAAATTCTGAAAACGAACTAATGAAGTGCTTTGCGAAAGGATTCGAAATAACGCTTATTTGACCTTCGATCGATCTGTAAGTCGTGATCAAAGATGGCGCATCCCTGTTCTAAAGTGATTGTTCGAAGCAGACAGACCATGAACTGCGGATACCAGATATAAAGGACTCATTGTTTCTAGAAATAGTTGCGTATCACATAAACAAAACCGGCGATATAGATATATGATACTTAAAGAACAATAATTTTAATTTCAATAAACGGACTATTTAAATAATAATTGCCTTAGAATCTGTCTTTTTCATAATCCAATAACAAAGGCCACAATATGGCGACTTACACATCTACACAAACATCGCTTATTATCATAAGGATGTATATATATCGTTACAAACTGGTTTGCATTGACCATGAATCCCGGGCGGGGACCGCTAAACTGTATTGAGCAGACGTAGAAATCTTAAGTAAGTTTTAAGTAGTGTTAACTTTACAAGCAGCCGTAACTAGTCGTACATACAACTACATTTTTAGTTAACGCATACATGTTGCTTGCTTATTCCTATGGAAAACAAAACTGATACGAACTTATACAGGTAAACAATTGTAGTGGCGCACACGTGAGGCTGATTTTATCTTAACGAAAAGTGCAGAAGATTGTTAGTCACAGAGGCTTACGTTGTGGAACGGGATAAAAAGGTCAAATATTAAATGTTTAAGTGTTAAAAAGTCTGATCAAACACCACACAACCAGTGATTGAACCAGAGTATTTAGATGTAATTAAGACAGAGGTGTCCAAGTCGGTAGTCAAGACTGGTTTACTTGGACGGTAGAAGAGTAATAGAAGATACAGGAGTTTCAAGAGTTTCGTCCAGAACTTACCATCCGGGAACGTCTTCGGGGTCCTCGCAGTTGCCGGTGCCGTCGGCATCGCCGATCTTGAATACGGTTCCGATTGGGCATCCATATTCCCGAGCGGTACCCTCAAGACAGATGTAATATTTACGACAGTCTTCGGGGTGAGCGTGACGGCTGAAGGAGCCAGCGTTGGCCACTTCACCAGGGTTGGCGCAGACGAAACCGTTTGCTACTTCTGAGAATGACGAGACAAGAAATATTTATAAAAAATGTATCAATCTCTTATTGATACAACTATCGTTATTAGTGATTCCAATAAATCAAGTCCGGAATTTTATTTGAGAACGAACCTTTTGACTATGTATTGCCTGCTTTAAAAATGACTTCGATATTACTCAAAGAAGTTTTGCTCTTACTTAGATTTCTGAAGATGCCAAACTTACCCTCGTTTCTGCACTCGGGGACCTGGTCAGCCCACATGCACACGCGGGCTTCCCTGTCGTAGGCAAGACCGGGGCTGCACTGGTAACGAGAGGCTTCGCCGTTCCAGCAGTTCCAGAAAACATCGCACTTTTTCTCGTCGGCGAAGATGCCGTAGAGCCTCGAGCAGTGGGGAGTTGAAATTGGGGGCTCTGTTGAATTTTATATTGATTTAATTTATCGCGAAAGATAACAACAATTTATTAAAAATGCATACAATCTGTGATAGTGCTTTGCTAGCTTGTGCTTGATCATAATCAAAGCTGGTGTTTAATAAATAATCTTCATATCTATATCACAATGTAAAGAATTAGTTTGTCACGAGCCTTTCTAATGACTTGTGAAGACATCTATCATGTTTAGTTTCTGTTGGTAAGGAAGCTTTATAATTTCATACTTCAACAGCCGTAGAGACACTATTTAAAAAAAACACTCCATTATGTAAATTTTATATTTTTGCTATTTTTAACAGATACAAATGACATACGCGTGAAACAACAAACGACCTTCTAACCGATATCCTGGTAAGCGGATGATATTCAATATTCAAGCGTAAATAATGTAAAACATAACCTTGACCGTGTTATAATAACCGAGTAGGAAAAGGTTAACCTTCGGGTACAATTTTCAACGGCTACTGATCTTTATGTCAAATATATGCTTATTTTATAGATACCAGAATTTATTAATCTTTATCATTGGGAGATATCTGTGCTGGAAAGCTTACCAAGCTGTGTCCTTTCACCACAGTCGACGTTGTGGAGGTAGTCGCAGTTTTCAGTCAGATATTTGGAGTCGGAGGCGTCGAAGGCGAGGCCATTGCCGCATGTCTTCAATTCGGCGACGCCATTGTCGCACTTCCAGTATTTGTCACAGGATATGTGGTGTGGGTAGAATCCGAAATCGTCCGGGCACTTGAAGGATTCCTGGGCAACAGCTGTAACAACGGATAAAGTCTCGAGTTAATTAAGTTGCCGTTATGAATCAGGCATAGTTTTTCAGAGACAGTATTTGCAGGCGGCGCATATACTGGATATACCTTTTTTTACAACGTCACGGGTGAAATTAAATACCTTCTCGAACTTTATTTCAAACTACGCGACTAGGCATTTTGCCATGCGGCGGCTGCAGTCTGCAACTTATTTCGTAACACACCGGCACAAGCAGGGCCGTTCTTTCTCTACGGAATGCAATACGACAAACTGTTGTTGAGTAACACTTAGTCGACGACAGTTTTTAACACCGTGCACTGCCTTAATTGCTCCGACTTGCGTTTTATAAGTATTTTTTCACCGAGGAACAAACAGACGGCCTGTTCTATTACTTAAAGCGAAGACTTTATGATGACTTATTTATTTTAATATGACATACTCATAAGAGCGAAGTCAAACGAGTTTTCAACTACCATGATCGCTTACAGACGAGAATACTAAACACTTCCATATTCACCGCAGTTATGTCATGTGTACGACTCACCGGCATTTCTGGTTGACATTTGTGGCATTCAGACACGCAACCAGTATTGGCCAAAACCTGATCGTTGCTGCAATCAGATTCTCTCTTATTTTTTGCAAACTCAGGGTGCCAACACGGATGCAATAACATTGTAACTATCAACTTTTGCTCCATAATTTTTTTGTTAAATTTCATAAACTTACATCACATAAGCAATCACATCTATAGCACGATATTAAAAATAGCACAATGTAAATGGGTATTAAGAATTTGGTCTTAAAAGCCAATTAGTCTTGCTCATTTAAAGGTTATTATTTATTTATACTTAAAGGTTCTCCTTAAGCTCTTTCTTTCGAAACTAAATTTTGATAGTTCAATTTAACATTAATAGCTTAATATCTCAACAAGTAATGACTTGGATTATTCAATCGCGACCATTCACATTTCAAAATACTTAAACACACGTTGCCAAAGTGTTAATTAATTTACGTAACCTCTATGACCGCAATATTTTTCTAGGTTATTGCTTTATGTTCCCGCAAAATAACATGCTTGGAAACCAATTAATTTTAATCATTTCTTATATTGCTGTTTTATTCAAATACTCCTTTATAAGTTATATATTCGACAAAATTAATAAGTATAAAATAATACCCTAAGCGTAAAGAACTTCCGTATTATTTTTAGAAAACTCGTTGAACCACTTTACTCCATTTTATTGAATTTATTCAGCGTACCATTACAAAAATCTTAGACAGCGGTCTTAGACCACTTTTAATATTTATATATTATTCATGTCGGAACGAGGTTAACCGGAATGCCTTTTAATACCTCACATACCTAAAGTTTAAGCCACATTATTGCTAACCTAAAAGAATATTAAAATAAAGGTATAACATACATATGTATCATACGTACGTGTCGCATTTTTGTGTTTATAGATGATCCTTTCTTTTGTCTCAATAAAATTTATTATTCTTAAACAGTTATACGCTATATGTTATGCGCATAAGTGTTTAAATAGTGACATCTTATTACCATTATTGAACTAAAGGTGTCTAACAAGAAAACTTCATGAAAATTATATTCTACGTTCGGTCCTTGATTTATTTTTAGAAATTTCCAAAATAATTCTACACATTTTAATCAAATTTATTATAATGAGATAAGTACTATACGAACATATGAGCCCTACTAGTACCACCTCTGGTAACCAGAATGCCATCTGACGATGACATAATTTTTGGTGTGGTTACATAATCAATTATGTAACGCGATGACGGATTCAATACTAATCTTGTACTTATATTGCATACTTAAGGCGATGTCTTTACATTTTATTTAATTTTCAATGTACAAACTATCCCATGTCTCCCTGTGAGGCTCACCAATATAAATTTCGAATATGAGTAACGCGTATAACGCACCCATCATGTGTTACTCAATAGATGTTATACAACGCAAAGGTCAAAAACCGTTAAGTAATACAGGTGAAAGCCTCTTAAGATGACCCAGAGAACGAACATGGGTGGAACTTTCGATTTCGTTGAAAGCTTGATTCTCGATCATGTTATTCTTAGTCTCGTCTCTCGGCTGGCCTTTGTCTACATTTCATAATTTAAGCAAATGGATATTAATATATTATATATATGCATAAGTTTTCGAAATACATTAAATATGGAAGTATAATAAAATAGTTGGATTAATATAGTTTTAGATAATACGGGGCGACTGACTAATATTATTTTATGGGAGCATAATAACAAATCGTAAAACGTCTAATACAAATACAAATGATTACATGAGATGTGATATAAGCCTTTACGGTAATTACACAACCGGTTCAGGAACAAGTAACTAAGTACAATGTACTTAGGCCTATTCTATTTCGTTTATTACGTCTATTTATATTACACGTGGGAGCAATAGACGTAATATTTAAAATTAGATAACGTACACTGCAGTCTACGCGTTGACGGGTGAAAGTTTGACCGCTTTCGTTTTGACTTTTTATACAGTCTACAAATCGTTCCTCCGCATAATAAGCATTGTTTTGCTGGATTCATTTCCTTTATATGATTGTGACCAAAAATTTCCCAAATGTGAACATCATGTTTAATTAATTACAATCTTTGTGTAAGTATAAACAGCTTGTATTCTTGGAAATGGTGGCATTTTTTTTTTAAATCGTAATTTACTAATTGCGAACACTCCGCAAGAGCGATTCTTAATTTTCGCGGCGTTTCTATTGCACACTGTTTTAATACGCAATAAATATTATTATGCCGCTGCTAAAGGTGCGTAGGCATGACATCGTTTAATCAATGAAGTAACTATCTAAAACAATTTTGTATTATGCAATATTCATATTGTATTTGTTTAAGTGTCGTAATAATAATTTTAAACTTCTATAAATTATTTTATTTATTCTATTAATTTAATTTATTTAATAAGTGTATTTAAACTATTTTATACCGCCAACAAAACATTAGCATCATCGTTACAAAATTGATTTACACACCGCACAGGGTTATGAAAAAACTACTTATTAAGTTTTACAATTCTGTTGTCGATCCTGTGATATTTTTGACGGTGAGATCCGCACCAAAACACGATATATCCAGGATATTGTCTTCGTTAATCGCCTTCGCAGGTAGTTGGGCGTGGAATTTAAAACGTAAAAAAACTACCATACCTAGAGTAATAACGGAGTTATTTATAAAGCCACGAAGGACACACAATCACCGTATCCTACATCAGCTGCGACGCTACTACGATGCAGGCTCTCTATTATATAGGACATTCTTTTTAATAAATTACAGAACCGGTGCATGCAAAAACCAATATGAATGAGATGAAACTGAGAGCTTCGTACTTATTTGATAAGATAATTTTATTTCGTCAAATTTGTGTATTTATTTAAAAAAAACAATAAATCAAATAATTTATTCATCGAAGGAAGAAATATACGTTCATCTATTATCTAGATATCATCTATTGATAGTCATGTTATACATCTACAACTGTTTCGTAATAAGGTTCCTCTAACGGAGAAGAAACAGGCGAAAGAAACCCTGTAGGTATCTTCTTATGTTAATTTATATTAATCATGTAATTAACGTTCATCTTACGAAAGAAACAATGACTTGTTAGAAGATTCTGACCAAAAAATACTGCTTCCGTCACATTGTGTTCAGTAATTAACTATTGACGAAATTACTTCCGTTAAACGTGTACCAATTACAAAATAATTTAAAATATAATTGAAACAAAGAAAAGGAAGTGTCATTGTGGCAGACATATTTCAAAAGGTCGTATTAAAATAAATTAAAAGATTTAACTTCGTAATAACATTTATTTATTACCTTCGCTAGAACTTTGATCAGTCATTAGGGAATAAACTGTAACGTAGACACTAATTATATTAAGTGTCCGCATACAAACTACTAGAGCATATTATTATCGATAAAAATTATGTATTGTTATATCTAAGACTTTACACAGTAGACTGTATTTAACATTCCAGTCTCATTTTAGTAATAAAATCTCAACTTTTAAAACTACATATTTCTTCAAGGTCTATTGAAGGAAAAAATCTTGACGATTCAATTCAAATATTATTAAAATTTCATAAAATATCTGAGATAAAACAAAAATTGTAATATTTTAAAATTCTAAGCCCGTATTTGCTTAAGTTACGTTTATCTATAGAGATCGCGATCAACTTGAGCTCAATGCCATGCGCACTCAAGCAGTCGAATAATTTTCACCGTGTTTTCTTTTTTTTTTTTGTGAAACTTACGCACGCACCGCGGATTCCAGATAATTGAATACCTTCACGCAATATTAGCTTCATGAATATTTGATACGGCATTTGACTGCATTAGATACGATACATTTACGTTCGAACGGCTCGTAATAAAAAAGCGGATGAAAGGAACTGTGTGCCGCTTGACAACGCCAACTTATTTTTCTGGGATTTCGTCTTCTTATTGTTGAGACTGATGGTGTGAAATTTTACCCGAAGTTGTCCTTGTGTAAAATTTTTAATAATCAAAAAAATTGCCATATAAAGGGATTGATGTGACAATACTCTTTTATTTTTCAGAGCTATAGTATTCCTTTCATTCTATTGTAATATAGTTTGTACTGTTAACATTTAACATGATATAGACATGCAGGGATAGTCGCAGAAAGGAGAGAAGAAATGAAGTATTGTTTTCACAGGATCGAACGTTTACTTGTACTTGATATTTGTGCATTAAAAAGTATTTTGTGAATTTTATTTGTCACATTTTTAACGATTCGACCTAATTGGTCGAAATTGAAGTAATTTTGTTAGTACTTTTATTATTTTATAGAATTTGAAAGTGTTTTGGCTAGAAAGGCGTTATTTTTTCTAAATGCTTTATCAACCTTAACTTTTGAGTAACCTTAACTGTTTGAAATATCGATGGAGTGTCTTCAGTATCTCTTATGAACATGATCATCGTACGTAATTAAATACTTAAAAATTCAAGAGCTCGACAGAACGAAGTCGGCGCAAAGAAAAATGTATATGAATCATAGCATTAATGTTTCAACATAGCAGGTCGCATGTGAGAAGAACTTTGAAGATTTCTGCTTGTGCAATTTCTCTACACGCGGCGTCGTTAGCCCATAGGGGCGCGTCGAACAACTGCGTTCTTACACCGCAGCTTTCGCGATCCAACCGCGGGCCGATTGGCGTCGCGGGCAAATGCATCGCGGCACCGCTCTAGATAGTTCCACCGAACACTAGCCACCACAGCCGCCGTCCGCGCCGCACCCTAAATATTTCAAATTCTACATACCCACGCCGAGGGCGGCCGCTAGCACTAACAAACACCGCGTATTCATGTTTCAAACTTTGAGTCCTTGCACGGAAGTTGTGGACACTGTAACGTTCGAGCACACACTGCGAGCGGGTGAATGGGCGGTCGAGGCTTTTATATCGGGTAGGCGTACTAGTAACTCGGACGGTGAAAAGCGGCCCCGCCGCCCGCGCACGCCCCGCGCTCGCCTCATCCTTACAGCGGGGTGGTTCACATCCCGAGACCAAGAATATGCTCAAACACATACGTTCTATATACTCAAAAACAAATTTTTACATGTCTTCATAACGACACCATGACAATGGTTAAATTGAACTATGACGAAGAGCTTATTAATCCCCCTTGAAACATTGGTTCTGTCAATTTTTCTTACTAAAGCAATTTAAAGTAAACGCATACGTGACTTTTCACGTGTAATTTAAATATTCGCTTAACATCATTTCGTTTCCACGACCGTATGAGATGTGACAATAAGTGCATTATTAGAAATAATTTCAATAATGCTTTACTGATTTTATTCAAGTACAAAACTACTCCTTAAGACTTTACAACGAGACTATTATAGAGAACAAAAAGTTCCACATAGATAATAAAAAAATCCGTTCATAAATGATGAAGTTCCAAAGCAACAAACATAAAAAAGTCATCGAAAACCTCCTCCTTTTTTGGAGTCGGTTAAAAAGTCACCGTGTCTTATCTTTACAATTATTGAGATCTGTGCTTGATGGGTTCACTCGTATAATATATGTTGTATTTTTTTTATTTTCATATGAATCCAGTCATTTGTTACGTTTATTAGGCCTTGGTTTCGGATGCCACGTTCAGGCTTAAGACAGACAGACAATGATTCATTGAAATAGCGGTTCATGGCGACGGCGTTCCGTTCGCCTACGCCGTTGCGCTTCGAAGGGGATTATTTTGTATATTCTCATAATTGCAGGACCATATTACTTTAAAATGTTATATACTTTTTCCAATGAAAAATGTTTATGATTAAACTCACACTTCTGCGTTTCGCCTGGGGAGGGGTCCAGGCGGGGCCCACATTATTAAATCATCTGCAACCGGTGTCATAAATGTCCGTGGGCGGCGGCTATCCCTTAACGTCAGGTGAACCGCCAGCTCGTTTGCAACTTTCTCACATTAAAAAGAAACTAATTCAAAATATGCTTTAATTATAAGTTAATATAGAGAGTGTTTTATTATCTATTACTTGGACTTTTACGATTATCTCTGAGACATCAATATCTTCACAAAATTAACAAAAATATACTCTCACAGTTTTGGTATAAAATAAGTTAAACCTTAATAATAGAAATAAGAGTAGATGTAAACTGATTCTTTCCAAAATCGTACTACAATCTTCCTGCAATGAACGACCTTCGTCTCAACGTATCTTACAAATAACGCAAAGTTATTCGATAAACAGATTATGTGGAGAATCGACTGATAGAGAACTTACAATTCATTTTTATAATGATGGTCTAACCAGAAGCAAATTTTTTATAAAAGAATTCCTCCTCATTCCTTCCTCAATTCTGCAATAGACGAATTTTGATATTTCTAGGTAAAAGCAGATATTCTCGGGTATTGTCATTTGTATATTTGATATTATATTGTATATTTTTAATATTTCATTGAACTCTGATGAGAAACAACCAAAATTTTGAGAAATAAACTTACCCATTGACCAACCAATTTCACTAACAGTAATTTGATTCCCAATAGTGTAAGCCGTTAAAAAAATTTAATTTAAAATCAAACGTTTATACGAGACCATAACTATGTGAATAAACAATGGTATAATATTCAAATTTATATTTCAAATAGTAAACATCAAAAATTTTAGATAAGGATTAAACACACGCAGTTTAATATTTTTTTGAATGTAAAAGTTGTCAAGCGAACAGGTGGTTCACCTGATGTTAAGTAAATACTACCACTCATGGTCATCTACAACATAGGATGGCTTGCAGATGCGTTGACAACCTTGAAAAAATGGGTTCCGGCTACGTCACTCATTAGACGAAAGACAGAAGTAGTACTTCCACTTTACGCGTGTCTTCAGCGAAGACGTGGCCCGACCACAGTTAATATAATAAAATATCTAGTTACATGTTAAATTAATATTAAATATTAAACTAAAAACAGAAAATAATTTGGAAAATTACAATAATTACATTAATTAAAAAATAAAATTCATACTACTTTTTTGTTGCTTATCAAAAATAGATTTTCAGACACTTTTTTCATATGCATTTTCTGTCCCTTGGATTAGCGGTGTTCATCGCCTTCCTAATCGCTCACATCGTGCATTGTCGATGTAAACTTTTCACACTACATATTGGGGTCAGTTATTAAAACAACAGAAACATGACGTAATACGGCAATGAATCATATATTAGACCGGGCAATAAACCAGCCAATGAAGTTGCAAACGGCTGCGTAGTGTAAGAGTTACGAATTGTACTAACTTTCTATGAGTAATCTGTGCGCCACAGCTGTAGACGGCAATACGAGATATCCAGAATTAAATTATTTCATATAATGGGAACATTGATAAAATGTATCAAGATTTATTTGTTATAAAACATTTTTTATCGAACATGTGAAAAATCCATAGGTATTTGTTATATTTTTAAAGCAGACATTTTTGCCGGACATTTTTTTGACATTTTACGGTTATTCGGTACTACCGTCTCCCCGTCTAATTTAATTAAAATTATAGTGTCAAATTAGATTGAATATATTTAAATTTATGTAACACTCAATTGTTTACTTATAATTAAAAAATTAAAAAAGATCGTATTCTATTTACAAATATGAGAATATTTATAAGGCTAGGAATAGACTCTAACTGCAATTTTGTTTTAGGTTATCATATTTAATACTCATGGCTCTTGTGTTCTTGTGTATGTAAGTTAATTGGCTAGAATCTGTCCATAATGCAATTTTGACATAATATTTGACAATAAAGACCCTTAGTCCGACCAAGCTTTTTAGCAGTCACCATTCAAATTAATTTACGGTGCAAACGGGTCTTATGATAAATAAGAAAATATTTAGTGTATTTATCATAAGACAACGATAGAAATGTTAACCTTTTTGATGAAACAACAGATTCCCATCATCGTAATATTCCCATGTCTAGGTATATTTTGTTCCACTTGTTCATAACGTGATCAACGTATAAAATGGTTTAGAATATTATTTTCTAGGCTGAACACGATGGATATAATTCAATACAGATAAACATTCATCGTATCGATTTCTAGTTTGCAGGCCTAGAATGTAATTGAATACTTAATCGTTCTAGTGCTATAATGAAGTTATTCTCGAAGGTATTTGGGACAGGGTCCGAATGAATCGGCCGAGTCGTCAACCGTCCGCGCCCGACCTGAAGGCCTGCGGGTTTCACGGTTCGTTCAATGATGAATATCGCAGAGGCTGACGAAGGCTCAAAAGTATTGTTTTGCAAAATATCCTACTGCACGACATCCCTGCCATGGTTTCGATTCTCGCACTAAGAATATTTAGAGAAAAAAACGTTGAATGTAAAACAGAAATAGTTCCGAATATGTTTGACCGTGTCCAACTTATGCAAGTAAAATTTCCCATTCCCCTTAGTGACTTTCTTGAAGTGATGATAATATTTTTCCCAACTGCCGAAGAAGGGTAATGCGTGTATTTATCTAATCCTTTATCATGCTCTATACCTTAGATCTTTAGAGGTATTTCAACATTTGAACTTTCAATATATTTGCTTCAGCTGTCGGAATCAAATCTCATTACGGTATATACGAAAAAAAAACAATAGTGGAATAATTAATAAGCAAGCATATCGCCATACTTCTGGCTTATTCATGCAAAGTGTATCGAAACTCAACGAATTTGAAACTGTAAGATACAGATCGTGAGGCAAAGTCTCGTGCTACTAGAAATTCGTAACAAATTTTGTTTCTCGGTAACTAATATTTAATATACAATTAAGTGAACTTTTTGAAATGTATCACAAGAAAATTTTACAGTCTATTCATTCATAGAGATATTAATAATTTGAAAGACAGATTATATTGTAAATAAAAAAACATTTATCGGGGCTATTCAATTATTCAATCTTTCTCAAATGCAATTATAATTAAGGAAAGAAGATCAAGACGGACATATTTAATATCTTTCTTACAATTACCATATTCAATTAATGTTAGGCAATAAATGAATTGTAAATTATACTCTATGACACTTTCTGGTTGTCACTACAGAATTTACCTCACTAAGTCGGCGCAAGCCACTCGCAGTATGCGGAAGGTAGCTTGCAATCGTCAATGTTTGAGCAATAAATATGCGTTTGTTCAGTCGCTGTGAGCTTAACCCGAGGGAAATACGTTTTATACGTAATGTTCTTTAAATTTGGAAGGAAATTTGATTATTTTCAATTTATGATCCTATTTTTCATATAAACATTATACGTGCGCGAGTCTTATTCTTAAGAAACCATATTTTTAAATGATGCACTCAAATAATATTATTTTTTTAATTATTTCCCACCAGCTTTGGATGTCATTCACGGACGGAAACTCGATGTCGTATTTATTTTTATTTTCGATAACCATTACAACTTCGTTATACTCGGAAAGCATATGCAAAGGTTAGTGCCATTCTAAAATTCCACGACACGTAAGTCTGCTAATGACGCAAAGCAAGCGGTTAATTAACGTTATGACGACACGATGTAAACGACAAAACTGCATTTTCCTTTACATTTCACGTTTTAATTTTTAACCGTTAAATATTTATGATTCAGTTATTTCCTCATAATTATCGAAATATCGCATAATATTTTATTGCCTATATGGTATTGAAATCAAATATCATATATGAATCTTAACATTTACAACGATGTACGAAAGTCCCACTATTTTATCAATCACCACCCATCTCATCATTAAAATGTTCACGTCATGATTGCAATGTGAAGTATTAATGATAAATTTGATAAATATATTAACAATTTCGAAATGTTCG